TATATTTCAGACGGTTTATGTGAACTGCAATATATTGTTATCCTCACTCAGAGAAAAGAGAAGGCAACACTTAACCCCAGAGCTTGCCATAAAGTGCACAAACCCGCTATTTTTAAATATCCCATGGAGAGAGACTCTTACTATAGCGTGTTTTATTTTGTTCTGAAAATGTTGGCATGGAGTCCCGTTCTGTGGATGACAAACGGGGTGCAGACTTTTCTCTGTGTCACCAATAATGAGGAAATACATTGACTGCTGGATGGAGCAGTGAGTGACAGTAACCCCACCCACATTTAAGGTCACGGTTTGAGGTGGAAACGCTAGGGTCTAGGTAGCATGTCTGAAGGGTACTTTCGGTTCCAAAGGTAACATACTGAAAATGTTTGGTGGACATTGTTTAAGATTAAGATACCATGCCTGTCGGCCAAACAAAAACAAAAGGGCTGTTACTCTGAACAAACTCTTACTGAGGGTAAAACAGTAACAAGCAATATTCCTCTTCAAGACAGTCCTATGAAAATAGACATGACATTAGGATTCACTCAGACAAAACTTACAAAACAAAGTTTTTCATAAAATTAACAAACCATGTGCCATACCTTGAATTAATTTAGGTAACACCCAGAAAAGTGACATGCTTAATGTTGAGACAACTAATACTAAAAGTGGAAAAGAAAAGCACACTAAAATTATTCAACTAATGTATTATACCTTTACTTTATTATGTGTCTGTGCCAGCAATAGCTGAGCCTGGAGGCATTATGTTTTTTGGGCTGTCCGTCCATTTGTCCATCCATCTGTCCATCCATTCTATTCTTGTGAGTTCAATATCTCAAGAATGCCTTGGGAGAATTTCTTAAATTTTGCACAAACATCTACTTTGACTGAACAATGAAATTATTAGATTTTGGTGGTTGTAGGTCAAAGATCACTGTGACCTTACATCCATCTCTTTCTTGTGAACACAATGCTCAAGAGGGCCTTGAGGAAATTTCCTCAAATTTAGCACAAAAGTCCACTTTGACTCAAGAATTAACTGATTAGAGTTTGATGGCCAAAGATCAAAGGTGGAGTTCACTGTGACATTATAATGTTCTCTGAAAACACCTTTGGCCCTTACGTAATAACTCAGGAACAGTAAGGATGACATTTGGCCAGATACTGAGTTAGTGACACTAATCTTGGGTGACCACCTTGAAAAGGATGTGTGTGAAGCATACACGTTTTCACAGACGGCAGTAATTCTAGTTTAGATTGCACCCAGACAAGCAATATGTTGCGATGACATTCACTCCATAATCCCCACTCAAGGTTTACACTTTGAGCCCATAAGCAGATTATAGAAAGCTATGATAAAAAAAACCAAACAAAAAAACGTCACAATGTTTACTTGACTGTGCACTTACAAAATAACCGAGCTGATTAGGGTGTTATAAGAGAATCAACCTACCGTGACCACAGTGTGCCTGTAAGGTGACCTTCTTCTCAGCTGCTGTATTTGGGCTCTATGTTAAGAAATAGATAACACATGACACACACCCACATTATGTAATGCCAGAGTGTGTCATGTGTTATCTATTTCTCTATGTTAAGAAATAGATAACACATGACACACTCTGGCATTACATAATGTGGGTCATGTGTTTCAGTTAATATATCACTGAGCAATTATTTGGCATCCACATGTGTTGTGTCTGCACCCCACTGCACTTTCTTGTTCTGCGAGCTGAAACTAGACAAAGAAAGAGAGATTGCTACCTTTGTCCCTAAATAATATTCCCTCACTCCCCAGTGTCCTAAAGGCCATTACACTACATTTTAGAAGAGATCGGAGTTCATAGTGGGACTTAAGTTATTGCCAGATAGTTTCTGTGGGTGACTGGCTTGTATTTACTGTTATTATTATTATTATTATTATTATTATTATTATATTATTACTTATTATTAAATTAATGTTGTTGTAGCTATTGTCATTACTGTCTGCCCTGCTGTTCTCTCTGCCTCTGTCTCTCTGTCTCTATCTCAATTTCTCTCTTTGTCTCTCTTTATGTATCATTTTGTCACATGGATTACTGTAAATGTATTATGTTGATCTGTACTGTACGACATCTATTGCATGTTTGTCCTGGAAGAGGGATCCCTCCTCAGTTGCTCTTCCTGAGGTTTCTACCATTTTTTCCCCATTAAAGGGGATTTTTTGGGGGAGTTTTTCCTTATCCACTGTGAAGGTCCAAAGGAAAGAGGGATGTCGTCTGCTGTAAAGCCGAGGCAAATTATAATTTTTGATTTTTGGGCCTAAATAAAATTAAATTTAATTAACTTTTCTTTGCATCTCTGTCTCTGGGAGATCTTGCAGGATCAAAAGTGGTTTGGGTCAGTGGTCTGGTGTAGTGCCCATGGGGGAGAAATGTGTCCTCTTACCTTGATCATTGTTGTTTGCAGGATATTGTAAATCTCCCTAATTGTTGATAGTCAGCATTCCTGGTGGTTGAAGAAAGAGCTGGTTGATGGTTGTATTGTCTGACAGAAAGAGAGGGACAAAGACACAGACAGACAGACATACTGTACAGATAGGGAGAGAAAGGCCCAATCCCAATACACCCCTTAACCCTACCACTTGCCCCTACCCCTCCGTTTTGCGCGTTCACGCATAGGGGTAGGGATGTCCAGGTTCTCATTGAGGCAGAGGGGAAGGGCAGAATGCTAGGGCTATATGGCCCTCCAAACGGAATTTTTTCAGAGGCACACTTCAAAGCAAGTGCTACGAGAAATCTCCCAGAATGCCTTGTGAATCACCGGCAAGATGGCAGGGAAAGCTTCAGAGGCAATGAAAGAAAACCATAAATGTAAGTATTTTCTTCGAAACTAAAGATTTAAAGACTATGATCGGAAATGTCATTTCAATGTATTATATACATTTGTTCTAACAAACATAACAAAAAAAAATTGCTAG